GCCGGCACAGAGCATACCCTCTCGGATCTGGTTATAGCCATAGATTGATCGGCATTTGGGTAACGAAACAATTGGCACATCACTGATAAACATTAACTTATTGGACGGCGTCTGACCTCCAGCGTCAGCCGTTGTTGTGCCCCATCTAAGCAAACAGTGCATACTTTTTATACATGTTTAACCATCATTCAACTTATTCAAACAGTTATTGTGTTTGTATTTTAAAGTCAATATTAATATTAAATGAATTATTGTTTTTGAGCCTCTCTCTCTCTCTCTCTCTCTCTCCCTCTCTCTCTCTCCAAATACAAATAAATATACATTTTTAGTACGATTCGATTGTTTTAATGTAAAACTTGATTTACGGCACAAGTATTTTTATAGTACTGTATTATATTTGCACAAAATTCATGACATACTGTTTAGGATGTACTGTACTTTATGTTTTACTACTTTATATTTATTTTAATACAATATTTGCCATATCTTTAATGTGTGATAAGAATTGCAATTTTAATTAGAAATATCTAACCACTAAAAGTAATCGTTTAGTTCAATAAATATTTTCATAAATGGTCTAAAATATAATTATAAATTAATTGCTGAGCAAATCGTTGCAAATATTTATCGTTTCTATAACTTAAAAGTTTTAAGTTATGTTTTTAATTTTTTTATGCACTCAATCATATTTGCAATGAAGTATATTTTACATATCTCTCGAATACATACCCGGATTGTGTCACGTATTGCGTAAACTTCTGTCCCTCTGTTGGCAGACATACACTGTTTATAAATCCATCAGAATTATCGAGATTAAAATCGGGTTTGACTTTAATAAGAGCTAGGTCATTAGCCAATGTCTCAGCACTGTAGGCCTCGTGTTTAATGATCTGGCTAATTTCATGGGCTGTAGTCTTGCCAGTGCCCGGCTTATCATTGAGTTGGTTTGTGCCGACCACTGCCCGTAACGATGATTCGCTTAAACTTTATCGTTATATTAAAAACAATAGAAATGTAAATTATTTTTTATTATTAACGCTAATATATTAATATTAACTAAGAATTGAATGAATAAAATTGAATATATTTAACGCATATATCCATAAACATCCGGTATTTACCCATTAATACAGTGAGCGGCCGTCAAAATGAAATTCTTGTTTACGACGACAGCACCACATGAATGGCCCCAAAGGCCGCCCTGTCGTCGTTGAAGGGACACCTGCCACGGGAACGCACCCCCACTCGCCTCCGACCCCCCGATTATGTATGGCTTTAATACATTGCTTTTACTAATACCACAATACATGAATGGCCCCAAAGGCCGCCCTGTCGTCGTTGAAGGGACACCTGCCACGGGAACGCACCCCCACTCGCCTCCGACCCCCCGATTATGTATGGCTTTAATACATTGCTTTTACTAATACCACAATTGGCTGTATTCTCGCCATTGATTTTTAATGCAAAAATGTTTAATAACAAAAATATTATTGCAATTGTTTTTTGTTCAAACATTTTTGCATACAATTTATTATTCCGACAAAATATATTTTACTCAAAATAACTCTTTAAACATAAAAAATAATTTGTAAAACATTTAACAAAAGAAAAAATATTATCTGAAGTTATAAAATGTTTTATTGAAATATAAAGAATCAGTTTTATTAAATTTTATTTACATTTTTATTACACTTTTATTATCTTCGTCTCTCTCTCTCTCTCTCTCTCTCTCTCTCTCTCAAAATCACTAACTGAATAATGTATAGAAACAGTGCTTTTAATTAATTTATAATTTAGTTATTTTACTGACAAAAATAAAATGATATGAGAATGACATTCAATTGCATTACAATTGCTATAACTTTACAAATTTGTGATTTAAAAAACAGTTTAAAAACGGCATAAAACTGTATTAAATGAATAGTTTTTATATTGAGTTAATATTGTATTTATGATTAGCGCCCCGAATATTATCATTATAAAAGTTTTTATTGTTTTACTACATATTGAATCTCAACGTATGGTTTGCCGGACTTAAGGGTTTATGTCTTAATTTGTAAACAATAAACAATTCATTATATATTATAATGCCATTCAATACCTAACAAAAAGCCATCGCATTATCCCATCAAATGTACTATCATTTCACTATAAATACAATTATAAATGAATAAAACAGTATTAATAAATGCTTTCAGACACTGATTTAATCAGTGAGTGATTGTATTACAAACTAATTGTATTATAATAACAGATATTTTTCATTTAAATATTAACTTTAGCACAGATTTCGATGTGAAAAAATTACAAAACCTTTTACTGGATCTGAATTTTAGATTTTATGTTAAAATAATTGTGAAAATTATTATTTGTTTTGCAAACAACGAGATAAATAGTGAGTTGAATCAAAATCCATATTTTAAACTAAAATTATACATAAATTTATGGAAATTTTATTTAAAAGATAAGAAAAAAGGGAGATTTGTATTTGCATTGATAAAAAGCTGTGTTTAAAAATCACTAATCATATTATGTAAACCGTTTAATATATTGAATTAAAATGTAATTTTTCTAAAAGTTGTTTAATCTATTGTTAATACATCTAAACATCTAATGAAATGCAAACTTATTATTAAAGTGTAAATATAATTAAATTATTAAAAGCATATATTTATGGCTACAATAGGGAAAGGAGTGGACATGGGATGGGAGTTGGGAAAGGGTTTGTGTATTGTATAACTTGTACTGTACAATATGTATTGTAAAGTTTGTACTTTATAATAAGTATAATGTGGTTACCGTATATCTATAAATCTGGTGAAATTACTTATTGTGTTTTATTCTATTTATTATATTACATCTACTTTATATCTATAATTAAAATAGATCATAAAAACTAACAACCCTTTAAATACATCAAATAAATGGGAGTTTGAATTAAGATTCTGTATTAAATATGAATATTTGTATTCTCTAAATATACGGTTCCCATAGATGTGGCCATTCATCCGATGATCGATCAGTATTTTTACTAAATAATAGATTAAGAAAATAATGTTTTTAAATACCAATTATATGAGTTGTGAGGGACTGGGATGAGGGCATCGGGAGGACAGAGTATACGGTATATATGTTTGTGACCAAAACCAACGCTAAATGCATGCGATTCTTGCATTGAATGCTAATTCAAATATTTTTCAACTCTTTCTTTAATGTTTTGATGAATCGTTTGATTAAATTCTTTGGGATTTGAATATTTGCAATACAAATACACTATTGAATTGAATGCATAAGAATTAAGGGTATAAAAGAAACTTTTGGCAATTAATTAAAGTGATTTAAACACTTAATATATTATTGTCGACTGACTGTAAGGCACAGGCGATGGGATGGCATATGAATGAAGGGATAATCTGTTTTCTTGCTATAAATCTTACAACTCATTGAAAGAGAATATTGAATAATTTTATTTTTATGTTAACAATAAAAAATCTTTTAATTATAACCATATACTAACATATTCTTCCTGTTTGTATAACTGTTTAACTATACTTATTAATTGTATAAAGTTTTAATTAAAAAACACATTTAATATTGATTTTGTGTTATTTATTTCCACTAATAAGCAATCAATTTATATATTAGTAGTAATAAACAAATTTATAAGAATTGTCACTTTAAATATAAATCATAGACAGTTATTATTTTATTTACGATATCAATCCTTTTGTGTAAAACTTAACAATTTTCATAACCTTTTCCTTATTATTATTAAATAATTATAAATTATTCGTAAAATATGTAAATTTAAGACTTTTATATTTAATAAAACATATTTTGTATTATTAAATACGCTATACATCACTCCCACTAAAATAATACAATTAATATTTATTTGGTGCAAAATTAACAAACATTTTGTTTACACACAAAAAACTTTATATAAAACGGATAAAAAATCAAATATATTTAAATCAAAAGTTAATATATTTTTACAAATAAAAAATATTACTATAAAAATTGAAGAAGCATACTGTATATTGTATGCATAGATTAAGGTCGTGATGTCTGCCCCCTTTTCATACTAGGTATGTGTTGTATACATAGAAAAAGCATGAAGGTTTTGGGTTCAATATTCTTGATCATGAATTCTATGCAAAACCTGATTAATTGCATTCCCTTTTCAAGTGTCGGTTATAGTGAACATCGGTTTTATACAGTACTGTATGCGGCGCTCATCGCAAAACATACCTCTTTTCTGACAGTTATGTTCACTGAAAAGCAGTGAGAAATTGAAATAATTATTTAAATATATTTTTCATCACTGGTTTTGGTTTATATATTCACATAATAATAGCTAATCTATGTATTAAATCATAGCGTTTACCAATATTTCACAGAATTTAGAGTTTGTCATTTTCTTCTCTCCCTTATCGATAAGGCAATGAAAATTGTTTAAATGATTTGAATTTTTCAATAATTTATTTTTTCGTTACTGTATTTGAAAATATTCATAAATATTTTTGTATTATTATTATTTCTATTCGCATATGATTTGCAAATTTTGTTGTTTTCTTTGGTCCTTATTATGAATTCTTGTTTTTATGAATATTAATGTTATATCAAAATATTATAACATAAAATCATTGAATTATTTAAATAGGATATTGAATACAATTTATGTAGAAAATAAAAACAATACTATTGTTATAATTGTTTCTCTCATTTCCTATATTTTCTATTAAATAGTGTTTTCATTTGCATAATAGCGTAGAGAAACAAAAATATAGTAAAATAAATGTCTGCACATTAGATGATTGTACGGAGAAATACATTTCACCAGTATATTAATTATTGATTGCAAATACAATATATATTCTTTGTTTTTATAAAAATTTCTAAATAAATT